CTATAAAATATTAACATACGCTATAAACACCTTTTATGTATATTTTCAGAAGTTGTTTTCGAACACCTAAAATCATACTTGTTACCAAGTCTTGATCCAGTTGTTTTGCCTTTAAAATTATTCTTCTGGATAATTGTTTTAAATTTTTTGCTTCTCAAGCACCTTCATAGACTTTCTGCTCTAGTAGTGACCAGATTGTTTCGATTGGACGCGCTTGGAAAACATTTGGAGGATTTTCTTGACGTTGTACCAATTTGATCTGGTTTGCCTGGAGAAATTGTTGAACTTGTTTTGAATAATGCGATGAAGCAAGATCTGGCCAAAATAAAATATTGTCATTCTTGTGATGACGATTGATGAATGGAAGTAAACGTTTGCGTATACAATCATGTAAATAAGTCTCTTGCTTGATAGAAATTGTTGAACGATGAACATAAATCGACGAAATGCCTTTCTGAGAGACTGCCATCCAAACAAGTAGCTTGGGTTCAAATTTCATTTTTGTTTTGAATTTCACTTCCGGTGGTGCTGTTAATCGATCAGTAGTGTAATAGTTACGATTACAAGATATATCTCCATTCAATGAAAAATATTTTTCATCATCTAAAATCAGCTGAACATCAGGTTTCAAAATTTTATAGTGTCCAAGAATCTGATTGAGCTCGGTTGTTTTGGTTTTCATTTCGATATTTCGGAGCTTTTTTTCGAGTAAATATTTTGACTGCAGTCTTCTCCTTGACAGTACATGAAATCGTTGATTGGTGTACACCAAATTGTCGTCCAAATCGACGTTGGCTGATGCCAGTCTTGTTATTAACGGCCTTGACTAGTGCTTGTACTTCTTTTTTAGAAAGTTTCGATGGTGACCAGATTTTGGTAAAAAATTAGTTGTTTTATGTTCATTATACTTTTTCAAAATATCATAGATTGTTTGACGTGGAATTTTTTGTTTTAAAAAATGAGAAACTGTTGTTTTCGAAACAGAATTCGCAGACGAAATATGGAAGGTAATGATTCATTTTGCTATGTCCTCGTGCTCTCTTCGTGTAAGTTTCATTTACGATTATGAACAAAAATGTTATATATCATTCGAAAGAACTTTTTTCGCTCTATAAGAACACGTGTTCATCCTATTTATATCCATTTCCATGGCAGAGGTATTGTCTCCGACATTTGTACGGATACTTTTATATCATAGGTTATTATAATTTTGCAGAATGAAAACTAGTTTTGTTTTCAATAATGAAAATTACTATCAAAAAAATGATATGGGCATGTGTAGTCCTTTAGTAACCATACTCGCTCATTTAATTATGAGTGATCTTATGAGCCAAATTCAGAATTCGAAAGCAAAAATATCAAAATTATTTGATTGTTATGTAGGTGACACTTTTTTGGTTGTATATAAAATTGAAAACAATATTAGATCTTTTGTTAAGTACATGAACCATATTGAACTATCTATTAAATTTAGTATTGAGATGCAAAATAATAATAAACACTCTCTTCTCAGTATTATCTTTAAGAGAAAGAAGATGGATTTCACTACATATGTATACAGCAAGCCCACTAACAGAGAGTTATTCTGGAAATAAAGAAGCGATCAATCCAGAAATTACAAAATAAATCTAAATACATGTGTGCGCATTTATGTAAAGAGAATCTGCTCTACAAATTCTTTATTTGAAGAACAGTTAGAACATTACAAACGGATATTTATAGCAAATGGATATCAACTAAACAATATAATAATGGCTATGAGCGATGTTGAATTAGGTAAGAGTACTACTAATATGCCATGCTCATCCAACATTGAGAATGTTTTCATCTCAAGACCATATTATTATGATTTGTCAAAAATATTATATAATAGAATGAAAAATTGAATGGATGGAAAAATGCCGAAAAGAAAAATATCGAAAGAAAAAATGTTGAAAAAATAATTGGAGGAAAAAATATAGAAAAGAATATGAAAGAACAGAAAAAAGTCGAAACATCGAAACGTAGAAAAGAAAAATGTAGAAAAAAGAGAACAGAACTATTGTCGAAAAGAAAAATATTGATATCTGTGACGGTACGAGGTCGTCCGATTCAGAATTGAACATTCTTCATTTACTTGGTTCATGCTTACACTGATGTCCACCTCTTTGATTACAGCACCTATCTCTACCTAAGTACACATAAAATAGAATGCTTGTCACTCCATTATTCGTAATTCACTTCATAATGATATCTACATGTTTTTGTTTGTAATATTCGTTTCTAAATCAAGACTTATTATCAACAAACGAAATGAAATATGTGGGCTCCTTTGACTAACGAACGATTGTATTACAGTTTATCCCATTTTGCTTTATTTGTGATCGGAGCTACCATTCGAATAGTTATTTTGATTTTATGTTTATCTGTATCTAACATGACTTTTTTTTTCAAAAATAGTCGTTTATTTTGCCGCAAAAGAAACCTCAATTCTTATCATTGATAGTTATGTTTTTAGGTTGAATAAACCGATCACTATCAAAAACTAATATCGATGCGAGCATTGAAAGTGGGATATAATAGCACATGCTTATATAAATGATGTTCTTTTATAAGTTGCAGGTGGTCATTGTCATGTAGTTAGACCAGTAAAAGGATCTTGTTTTCAGACAACTCATGAAAGAATTTGTTATATATGAAATACTCCTATACCAAAACTCAATGCAGAAGAATCAACAATAATGGTTTCGACACCCGCAACATCTGCTATTTTACCCTCAAAAAGAAATGAGTCTGCACAAGTCATCTACAGTTAGTTTAGAAAACTGTTAGGTAGTTCTTAAGACAAGATGGCTAATTATTTACAATTTTTTGCTCAGTCATGTCGTTATTTCATTTATAATGTCAATAATATTATCCATGATCGTCTGGTTATATTTTCTTATTCAATAAAATTTTTTATCATTGGTCAATATGCTCGCATAAATGATTTTTTATTCTTAATTTACTTTCGACATTTTGCTCTTCGACATTATTTCTATTCGATATTTTTCTTTTCTGCTTTTTTCTTTTCTGTATTTTTCCCTTCTCTATTTTTCCTTCGACATTTCCTCATTCGACATTTTTCCTTTATGCCTTTTTCCATCATACCGAAAAATTTATCATAACGTCATAAGAAAACACTTATTTTTGGTCTTAAAATAGGATCACATATTTCATCAATATTCAGTCAAACATATCGTGAATCTTGTGAGTCAAAAAACCTATTTTATAAATTCAAATGTAAAAATTGCAATAGTCATTACATTGAAGAAACATCTAGTGGTATCGAGCAACGAAAAGAACAATATGAAAAGGCATTTCCAGGAAAAGTTTGTTTCGAAATAGCGGAACATTGTTCCAATTATAGGCGTGAAAATGACTGGAATGCTGTCATGATTGCAATAGAATCGAATAATACAAAGAGAATTATAAAAGAGAGTCTATTTATGTATAATTTTCAAAAGAAAGAAAAATGTGTTTATTGTCAAAATAATGTTAAACTGCAAGCTTTCTAGAGGAGATAAAAGACACATGTTTGTTGGGAACACTGTAAATTTTAAAAAAATTAATAAAATCAGGCGGTTTATTTTATTTTATTTTTGTGTTCTTCATGAAATTGTTTCCAGTCTGTTGTGAATGGTTTATGTATCTTTATTTTGTCTTCTGACTGATGATGTGAATAGTTTTCACGAAACGTGTCAAATAAAAGTGTTTTTATCAATGCATATGATTCTCCTATTTTGTAAAATATTCACTTCTCTTCAATTTTTACATTAATCATTTAAGCTCATCAATAGGCATCGAATAACGTTGGATATTATCCCTATCTGCAAAGTGTTCAGTCTAGTCTATGAATCCTATGGAAAAAAGATTTGATCCCATATCGGATTGCTTCGGTGGGTGTGCATGCGGATGATCAGATGTGTTAGTAATTGAGTGAAGGTGACAGTGACGGTTAAGAGAAGACTCACCACGTCACTTAATCGTACTAATCTGTCCACGTCTACGTCTATATCCACACCCATACTCACACCGACACTCTCAAATGCTAGAATATGCTTTTGACTATCAGTCTCTGACTGTAACAAATAGTTGGTGACATCTGTTGATTTCCCACGCATGAACTTTATTTATTACTCTTGATTCGAAAGCACAACATCTAGAGATTAGAAGCAAATAAGATAAGAGTCGGTTCCGACATCGTGCTGCTTTGTTGATCATGTGAATTAGGACCGCTGCAATAGAGAGGAAAAAATTATTAGAGATGACAGCATTCATCCGACATTACTCACTGTGAATCTCATGATGATATGAATTTCACCATGAGATGACAATCCGAGCATTGCCGGTAATTTTACCCATTCGTCATATTTTCCATCGTCAAAGACATGTTTGAGTTTAACTTTACACTTGCCAATTGAATCTTTGTCGCCGACATCATCATCGTAAACATCAAAGTGAATGGTATCGTCGCCATCATGAACATTGAAAGTAAATCGTTCGTTCCAAACAGGATCATTTGTATTCGAAACGGTGGTGGTTCGTTGTTTATACTTTTTATCCAAGTAGACTTCTACATAGGCATCGTTTTTACCAAATGTATCTTGATCCTTAAGACGACGTCCTCCTGCAACGACTACTTCGAGCGTACCGTTAGGCATGATGCGTGCTGATTTATGCGTCTATCAAGCGCTCGACTCCTTTTTATATTCATGTAATAAGAGTCAATAGCTAGCTTCTACTCATTCATTGATCTCCGATGAATCATCCTATTTTTCTTCTTGTTATTTGAAGGTGACATGTCAGAAGTAAAGAATCATATACGTTGAAGAAAACTTGATGTTGATCTACAGTAAATATTGATGCAGTGGTGACGATTGTATACCGTATTGTGCAAATAGCAAAAAAAGCACTGATTGAAATTGACACCCTCTCTACCGTCGACACAAAAAAAGCAGCGGCATTCGTCGTATAACACATATTATATATCAGTCAACATTCTACGACCTTCAGTGACAACACGTTTTGAGTAATGAAAAAAAATAGAGGATATCTCTGAAAGTTTTTGACAGGTATAAACTTTTTCTCTCGATGACGCACATCTTACTTCGATTCTTCTATTAACTGGGACGCTAAACATAAGATAAGCGTTGCTCCATGATCGAAGAGCATAATATGGTCTATTATTAACTTTGAGATAAGCCAGATTCATGATTCAGCCAATCTCACCTGTGAGAGAAAGTTATCAATTTTCCGATGGTGTAAAAGCAACTTGGCATCAAAGAACAAGTGGTTACACAACAAGATGAAGCCTGCCTTTGTTTGCGAATCGAATTTCACTGCTTTGAGTGCTTGAAAGTTTGGAAAACGAGAAAGAACTCAGCATGGTTCACATGGTGAAAAGATTCTGTATTTTTATTATAGTGAAATGTCTAATCAGTAATCCGTATGAAATACTCCGAGCAAGACAAGAATGTTGTCAACAATTATTTGAGAGCAGAATTGATAGTCACTTATTTCGAAACGGATTTTGTGTTAATGACTTATTTAGAGCAATTGGAAAAGTAACATGACTTGTTCGTGAAACCAATGATTCATAGCATTTAACTAGAACGACTGCTTCCCTTATTTCATTTCTATTCGCTACAGTGTAACAGTCCGAATATGCCACAGAAAAACACAAATCATAAAGAACAAAAGTAGTGTTTTAAATGCAACTTTACTACTTCGACAATCATTGATTGCCAACTGGTGCGAAGGAAAAGCACTATAAAGCAATTATGACTTGAAAAATTTCGTCAATTTTTTGGATGAAAAAAATGTAGATGACCAAAGAATTGTGAGTCAATCGTGTCTATCGCTTTCATCTCTTTCACTATTTGAATTTTTGTCTCAACATTCTACTCTTCGTCGATGATTGATTTTATCATCTGCACTTCGAATCTCGTGTATCGGCATATTTTTGTATCGATTACTTCTTTATACCCAGGTCGAAAGTGAACCATCGGATCCTGTCGGATCTGCCTCAATCCGATGAATTCCGATTATTGGAATCCGATTGGATCTTAACTGATTCCCATAATTTACGACGCATTCCGATCACCGGATTCCGATGAAATCCGAAGGACAGATCCGATAGGATTCATTTGTCGGAATCCAGTCGGTTTCATCGAGTTCCTACAAGTTAGTCATCGGGTTGCAGTGGAACATACAGTGGGTACCAAAATTGATCAACCACCATAATGAACTTTTTTGTTTTGTTCATACCTCAGACGCTAAATAAGCTAGAACTGTCTGGTTTTTGTCACATAATAGTTCATGGTCTGC